AGTGAGGGGGGGCTCACCTTACAGAGTGAGGAGGCCTCACCTTGCAGAGTGAGGGGGGGCTCACCTTACAGAGTGAGGAGGCCTCACCTTGCAGTGTGAGGAGGCCTCACCTTGCAGAGTGAGGGGGGGGGCTCACCTTGCAGAGTGAGGAGGCCTCACCTTGCAGACAGAGGGGGGACTCACCTTGCAGAGTGAGGGGGGGTCACCTTGCAGAGTGAGGAGGCCTCACCTTGCAGAGTGAGGAGGCCTCACCTTGCAGAGTGAGGGGGGGTCACCTTGCAGAGTGAGGAGGCCTCACCTTGCAGACAGAGGGGGGGCTCACCTTGCAGAGTGAGGGGGGCCTCACCTTGCAGTGTGAGGGGGGCCTCACCTTGCAGAGTGAGGGGGGGGCCTCAGCCTTGCAGAGTGAGGATGGCCTCACTGCAGACAGAGGGGGGCCTCACCTTGCAGACAGAGGGGGGGCCTCACCTTGCAGAGTGAGGGGGGGCTCACCTTGCAGAGTGAGGAGGCCTCACCTTGCAGAGTGAGGGGGGGGGGGGCTCACCTTGCAGAGTGAGGAGGCCTCACCTTGCAGACAGAGGGGGGGCTCACCTTGCAGAGTGAGGGGGGACTCAACTTGCAGAGTGAGGGGGGGCTCGCCTTGCAGAGTGAGGGGGGCTCGCCTTGCAGAGTGAGGGGGGTTCACCTTGCAGAGTGAGGGGGGCTCGCCTTGCAGAGTGAGGGGGGCTCACCTTGCAGAGTGAGGAGGCCTCACCTTGCAGAGTGAGGGGGGGCTCACCTTACAGAGTGAGGAGGCCTCACCTTGCAGAGTGAGGGGGGGCTCACCTTGCAGAGTGAGGAGGCCTCACCTTGCAGAGTGAGGGGGGGCTCACCTTGCAGAGTGAGGAGGCCTCACCTTGCAGACAGAGGGGGGACTCACCTTGCAGAGTGAGGGGGAGCTCACCTTGCAGACAGAGGGGGGGCTCACCTTGCAGAGTGAGGGGGGGCCTCACCTTGCAGTGTGAGGGGGGCCTCACCTTGCAGAGTGAGGGGGGGCTCACCTTGCAGAGTGAGGAGGGCTCACCTTGCAGAGTGAGGGGGGATCACCTTGCAGAGTGAGGGGGGCCTCACCTTGCAGAGTGAGGGGGGGCTCACCTTGCAGAGTGAGGGGGGGCTCACCTTGCAGAGTGAGGAGGCCTCACCTTGCAGAGTGAGGGGGGGCTCACCTTGCAGTGTGAGGAGGCCTCACCTTGCAGACAGAGGGGGGGGCTCACCTTGCAGAGTGAGGGGGGACTCACCTTGCAGAGTGAGGAGGCCTCACCTTGCAGAGTGAGGGGGGGCCCACGTTGCAGTGTGAGGGGGGCCTCACCTTGCAGAGTGAGGGGGGACTCACCTTGCAGAGTGAGGAGGCCTCACCTTGCAGACAGAGGGGGGCTCACCTTGCAGAGTGAGGGGGGCTCCCCTTGCAGAGTGAGGGGGGCTCACCTTGCAGAGTGAGGGGGGGCTCACCTTGCAGAGTGAGGGGGGCTCGCCTTGCTGAGTGAGGAGGCCTCACCTTGCAGAGTGAGGGGGGGTCTCACCTTGCAGAGTGAGGGGGGCCTCGCCTTGTAGAGTGAGGGGGGCTCGCCTTGCTGAGTGAGGAGGCCTCACCTTGCAGAGTGAGGGGGGGTCTCACCTTGCAGAGTGAGGGGGGCCTCACCTGGTCATGTGCGCGTTCGTGTGTGTTGGAGGAGGGGCTCTGTGAGGAAGTCTGAAGGAAGGGGCAGATTGTTTCCGGTTGTACTTTCTAATTCTAGAGCACTCAAGCTTTTTCCATTCTTACCTACCCTACCTTTAATACCTTGTATTTCTAAACATATTTGTTTTATTATATTTATTTAAATTGCATCTGTGTATCCCACACTCACATTTTAATAACATATATTTACCTAAATAGTTTTATTTGTATCTTTTTATTTTCTTTCTTTCTGAATGAAACATTTCCCCAGGATAAATAATGTGTTCTGATTGGTTGTGATTGTCTCCATGTATAGACGGACAGCAGCAGGACTTAAATATTTTATTTAAATATTTTATTTTAAATATTTTATTTTATCTTTTATTTAAATATTTTTAATTGTATCTTTTATTGTACATTCTAACTTTAACATTTTATATTTATATATTTGATATTCTTTAATTCTTAGCCCCAGTTTAAATGAAGTACTCTGATTGGTTGTGATGATGTTCCAGCAGCAGGACTCCATGTCCCAGAGTGCACCGCGGCTCCTCCAGGTGGGAGTGTTCAGTCTGATGGAGAACACAGACAGACGGTGAGTCTACCGGAGCAGCATCAACCTGACCGGCAAGAGAAGCGAAGAGAAGCCGAGCGAGAGGCCCTGTTTGCGGGCGTTTCTCAGCCGGAGGGTCGGTGTTTCTGGTTCTCTGTGTCCGGTGTTTCTGGGTCTCTGTGCCCGGTGTTTCTGGCTCTCTGTGCCCGGTGTTTCTGGCTCTCTGTGCCCGGTGTTTCTGGCTCTCTGTCCCCGGTGCTCCGGTGTGTTTCTGGGATGGAGGAGGCTGCGGGATGCGGGCTCTGCGGGGTGAAGGTGATGTGTCGCTTCAGACCTCTCAACGAGTCCGAGAGGAGCAGAGGAGACAAGGACATCCCCAAATTCAACGGAGAGGACACCGTGGTGGTCGCGGTGAGTGTGTGTGTGTGTGTGTGTGTGTGTGTGTGTGTGTGTGTGTGTGTGTGTGTGTGTGTGTGTGTGTGTGTGTGGCACACCCTCGGCCTGTCAGCAACAATGGAAACCGGAACTCCTCTTCATCATCAAGAGGCTTTTTCATCATCATCTTCATCCTCAGTCATCACACACTCTGCTATATAACATGTGCAATATTATTATTATTATCATTATTAATAATAATGTTCTATAATAACGTGCAGTTACGTATCTGCCACTAAACGTTCGGTTGCTCCACTAAACACTGCTCTGTTAGTGTGCCATGCTGCTGGTGTACTGTCACAACTACTTCCTTCAGGACAAATAGAGTCCTCTCTTATCTTCTCTCTAATACATTCATTTCATGGAGGATTAGAAATAATAATTAAAAATCAGTTTATTAAGTTAATTGAATATAAATGTGAATAATTAATTACTTAAGTACAATAAATAAATAATAAACTATAATGCATGACTGATAATGAGTTCATCTCACCTTCAAAATAAAAGACAGACAAGAAAATGTTTGTTTGTTTCTGTTATGAAATATTGATAGAAATCTGGAACAAAGGAATATATGAAAAATAATCAACAGAGAATATAATAATACTGATTTAGAATATAAAACCCCGTCCACACGGAGACGAAAACAAACCAGTCGTTCAAAAAGTATTCCGTCCGCACGAGAGCGCTCAACCCGCTGGAGACGCTGTAGTACATATGCCTGGCCTGTAAGTGGCGCTGTACTTCTGCCACAAAATACACCAAAAGCAGCGAAGAAGACCTCCGAGCATGGTTGCCATGGTTGCCTGGTTGCCCTTCTGGTTATTCCCCGCGGTGGATTTAGCAACATGTAGTTCATGTAGTTCTCCAGGTCCACTTGATGCTGATGGTTGTGGTCGAGGAGCTGTAGAGTTTTCACTAACATCTGTATCATGGTCGGTCGCGTCTGGAGCACAAACGCAGCCCGGTGATCCGCCTTTGTTGTTGTTGGCGAAACGCATCAGCAATGACGCGGGGTGAGCAGGAGAGGTGGGGAGAGGCGGGCTATGATCGTATATGGCGTACACACAGAGCCGTTTGGCCCCCCAGAGCGTTTCGTACGTATAGTTCTGATATAATGAGACATAGTTCTGGTACCTGACTCCTGGTTCTAGCCTCCTGGTGCTAGACTCCTGGTACCTGACTCCTGGTGCAAGACTCCGGGTGCTAGACTCCTGGTACCTGACTCCTGGTTCTAGACTCCTGGTGCTAGACTCCTGGTGCAAGACTCCGGGTGCTAGACTCCTGGTACCTGACTCCTGGTTCTAGACTTCTGGTGCTAGACTCCTGGTGCTAGACTCCTGGTGCTAGACTCCTGGTACCTGACTCCTGGTGCTAGACTCCTGGTGCTAGACTCCTGGTGCTAGACTCCTGGTACCTGACTCCTGGTTCTAGACTCCTGGTGCTAGACTCCTGGTGCTAGACTCCTGGTACCTGACTCCTGGTTCTAGACTCCTGGTGCAAGACTCCTGGTGCAAGACTCCGGGTGCTAGACTCCTGGTACCTGACTCCTGGTTCTAGACTCCTGGTGCTAGACTCCTGGTGCTAGACTCCTGGTACCTGACTCCTGGTGCTAGACTCCTGGTTCTAGACTCCTGGTGCTAGACTCCTGGTCCTAGACTCCTGGTGCTAGACTCCTGGTACCTGACTCCTGGTTCTAGACTCCTGGTGCTAGACTCCTGGTGCTAGACTCCTGGTACCTGACTCCTGGTTCTAGACTCCTGGTGCTAGACTCCTGGTCCTAGACTCCTGGTGCTAGACTCCTGGTGCCAGACTCCTGATGCCAGACTCCTGGTGCTAGACTCCTGGTACTAGGCTCCTGGTGCTCGACTCCTGGTGCTAGACTCCTGGTCCTAGACTCCTGGTGCTAGACTCCTGGTACCTGACTCCTGGTGCTAGACTCCTGGTGCTAGACTCCTGGTGCTAGACTCCTGGTACCTGACTCCTGGTTCTAGACTCCTGGTGCCAGACTCCTGATGCCAGACTGCTGGTGCTAGACTGCTGATGCCAGACTGCTGGTGCTAGACTCCTGGTGCCAGACTCCTGGTGCTAGACTCCTGGTGCCAGACTCCTGATGCCAGACTCCTGGTGCCAGACTCCTGATGCCAGACTCCTGGTGCCAGACTCCTGATGCCAGACTGCTGGTACTAGACTGCTGATGCCAGACTGCTGGTGCCAGACTGCTGGTGCTAGACTGCTGGTGCTAGACTGCTGGTGCTAGACTCCTGGTGCCAGACTCCTGGTGCCAGACTCTTGATGCCAGACTCCTGGTGCTAGACTGCTGGTGCTAGACTGCTGGTGCTAGACTCCTGGTGCCAGACTCCTGGTGCTAGACTCCTGATGCCAGACTCCTGGTGCTAGACTCCTGGTGCCAGACTCCTGATGCCAGACTCCTGGTGCCAGACTCCTGATGCCAGACTGCTGGTGCTAGACTGCTGATGCCAGACTGCTGGTGCCAGACTGCTGGTGCTAGACTGCTCTTGCTAGACTCCTGGTGCCAGACTCCTGGTGCCAGACTCTTGATGCCAGACTCCTGGTGCTAGACTGCTGGTGCTAGACTCCTGGTGCTAGACTCCTGGTGCCAGACTCGTGGTGCTAGACTCCTGGGGCTAGACTCCCGGTGCTAGACTCCTGGTGCCAGACTCCTGGTGCTAGACTCCTGGGGCTAGACTCCTGGTGCTAGACTCCTGGTGCCAGACTCCTGGTGCTAGACTCCTGGGGCTAGACTCCTGGGGCTAGACTCCTGGGGCTAGACTCCTGGTGCTAGACTCCTGGTGCTTTTCAGGACAACTTTGGGAATTGTGTTTGTTTGTTATGAGTTTTAAATAGATTTTGAAAGTGTAGATAGAGAGAGAGAGAAGCAGCACTGTCTGCTTAGTTGCAATACTGTAGCTTATGCAGTTTAGGCCTATACTTTGTTTATGTAACTTATGTACCAGTGTGTCCATGGTGTTGAGTCTGTGTGTGTTGAGCGCAGCGCCGTCTGCTTTTTGCAGTACAGTAACTAAAGTAGGACTAAGCATACCGGTAGTTTCTGTGGACCTGTCTGCCCGTTTTGTGAGTGCACTGCGCGCGTGCGCACTTGTGTGGCATTGTTTGGGATGACCTAATTCAAATAGCGTCCCCCCAGTAAAAAAATCCCCACTACACCACTGGCGCTGACTGAGCTTCATTTGTTCAATTTAAATATTGCTATGTTATTATAGTTTTATTAAAATAGTTTTTTATCAGTGTTTTCATTTTATTTTTATGTATATTTATCCATGCACCAAAAACACCAAGACGAATCCCTCGTAAGTCTTTATTTATATTATTATTATTATTATTATTATTATTATTATTATTATTATTATTATTATTATTATTATATTATTATTTATAAACCTGTTGTGATTTCAGGAGAGAAACCAGTGATCCTTTCTCTCTTATTTTGAAAGGATGAATTAATTCTACCGTAAACTTCCTGCCACTAATTTCATTTCCTGATTTAATGAGATGCGGGCCAGCTGCTGCAAAGCCTCATGGGAAATACTCTCCCTGTGACCCCTTGATTGTTATTATTGGTTGTTCTGATCCTGTGTTAAATTGTGGACATTTCAGAATCTGGAAGTATTTGTATTACTTCATGAAAGATTAGAATAAATACTGTTAAAATAATAAATACAATCAACATCAATAATATTAGAAATATATTCAATACAATTAATTTTGTCAATATAAAGAAAATACAAAATAATTAATATTATAAATTAGTCAATCCAATTATTAAATATCCAATATGTATAATCAATAAAATCAATATCATTATTAAAGATGTTTAATAAAGTGTGTGTGTGTGTGTGTGTGTGTGTGTGTGTGTGTGTGTGTGTGTGTGTGTGTGTGTGTGTGTGTGTGTGTGTGTGTGTGTGTGTGTGTGTGTGTGTGTGTGTGTGTGTGTGTGTGTGTGTGTGTGTGTGTGTGTGTGTGTGTGTGTGTGTGTGTGTGTGTGTGTGTGTGTGTGTGTGTGTGTGTGTGTGTTCCAGGGGAAGCCGTATGTGTTCGACCGAGTCCTCGCTCCGGACTCTGAGCAGGTCCAGGTCTACGACTCCTGCGCCAAGCAGATCGTCAAAGGTCAGCTCCTTCTCTGTCATCATTATATATAATTATTATTTATTTTAATACAATTATTATTATTATTATTATACTGTTATTTATTTTACTGTGGTAATTATTTTTATATTTTCTTATTATAATTGATATCATTATTTCATTTCTTTGTTGATGATGTTGTTATTGTGTTTGATGTATGTTGCTTGTTCCATGTATGTAATGTGTGTGTTTCAGACGTGTTGGGGGGGTACAACGGGACGATCTTTGCCTACGGCCAGACGGCGTCAGGAAAGACTCACACCATGGAGGTCAGACTCTCTTTACTCTCCATCACTCACCTGACCGCGTCATCAGAACAAAACCCATTTCCCTGAAGTGTTCTGTTCCAGCGTTGAGTGTCTGAGTAAAAACCTAATCCGAGTAATAACACCGAGTATTAGTGAGTATTAAAAGTGAGTACTAGTGAGTATCAGTGAGTATTAGTGAGTATCAGTGAGTAGTAAAAGTGATTACTAGTGAGTATTAACACTGAGTGTTAGTGAGTATTAACACTGAGTGTTAGTGAGTATTAACAGTGATTACTAGTGAGTATTAACACTGAGTGTTAGTGAGTATTAACAGTGATTACTAGTGAGTATTAACACTGAGTGTTAGTGAGTATTAACAGTGATTACTAGTGAGTATTAACACTGAGTGTTAGTGAGTATTAACAGTGATTACTAGTGAGTATTAACACTGAGTGTTAGTGAGTATTAACAGTGATTACTAGTGAGTATTAACACTGAGTGTTAGTGAGTATTAACAGTGATTACTAGTGAGTATTAACACTGAGTGTTAGTGAGTATTAACACTGAGTGTTAGTGAGTATTAACAGTGAGTACCAGTGAGCATCAACAGTGAGTACCAGTGAGTATTAGTGAGTATTAACAGCGATTATCAGTGAGTATTAAAAGTGAGTACTAGTGAGTATTAACAGTGAGTATTAGTGAGTATTAGTGAGTATTAAAAGTGAGTATTAGTGAGTATTAACAGTGTGTACTAGTGAGTATTAACAGTGAGTATTAACAGTGTGTACCAGTGAGTATTAACAGTGAGTATTAACAGTGGGTATCAGCGAGTATTAGTGAGTATCAACAGTGAACATTACTGAGTATTGGTGAGTATTAAAAGTGAGTATTAGTGAGTATTAACGAGTATTATCAGTGAGTATTAAAATAGAGTATTAGTGAGTATCAGTGAGTATTAACAGTGAGTAATAACATCGAGTGTTAGTGAGTATTAGTGAGTATCAGTGAATACTAACACTGAGTATTAACAGTGAGTATTAACACTGCGTATTGGTGAGTATTTGTGAGTATCTATAGTGGGTATTAGTGGGTATTAACAGTGAGTATCAACAGTGAGTATTAACAGTGAGTATTAACAGTGAGTATTAACACTGAGTATTAGTGAGTGTCAAGAGTGAGTATTAACACTGAGTATTAGTGAGTATTAACAGTGAGTATTAACACTGAGTATTGGTGAGTATTTGTGAGTATCAACAGTGGGTATTAGTGGGTATGAACAGTGAGTATTAGTGGTTGCCAACTGTGAGTATTAACAGTGAGTATTAGTGAGTATTAACAGTGAGTATTAGTGAGTATTAGTGGTTGCCAACAGTGCGTATTAACAGTGAGTATTAGTGAGTATTAACAGTGAACATTAGTGAGTATTAGCGGTGAGTATTAGTGAGTAACAGTGAGTGTATCCTCAGGGGAGTCTGCACAGCCCTCGTCTGATGGGGATCATCCCCAGAATCTCCCAGGATATCTTCGACCACATCTACGCCATGGACGAGAACCTGGAGTTCCACATCAAGGTGAGACCTGTCTGCCTGTCTGCCTCTCAGCCACCTGTCTGTCTGCCTCTCAGCCACCTGTCTGTCTGCCTCTCAGCCACCTGTCTGTCTGCCTCTCAGACACCTGTCTGTCTGCCTCTCAGCCACCTGTCTGTCTGCCTCTCAGCCACCTGTCTGTCTGCCTCTCAGCCACCTGTCTGTCTGCCTCTCAGCCACCTGTCTGCCTCTCAGCCACCTGTCTGTCTGCCTCTCAGCCACCTGTCTGCCTCTCAGCCACCTGTCTGCCTCTCAGCCACCTGTCTGTCTGCCTCTCAGCCACCTGTCTGCCTGCCTCTCAGCCACCTGTCTGTCTGCCTCTCAGCCACCTGTCTGCCTGCCTCTCAGCCACCTGTCTGTCTGCCTCTCAGCCACCTGTCTGTCTGCCTCTCAGCCACCTGTCTATCTGCCTCTCAGCCACCTGTCTATCTGCCTCTCAGCCACCTGTCTGTCTGCCTCTCAGCCACCTGTCTGCCTGCCTCTCAGCCACCTGTCTGTCTGCCTCTCAGCCACCTGTCTGTCTGCCTCTCAGACACCTGTCTGTCTGTCTGCCTCTCAGCCACCTGTCTGTCTGCCTCTCAGCCACCTGTCTGTCTGCCTCTCAGCCACCTGTCTGTCTGCCTCTCAGCCACCTGTCTGCCTGCCTCTCAGCCACCTGTCTGCCTCTCAGCCACCTGTCTGTCTGCCTCTCAGCCACCTGTCTGTCTGCCTCTCAGCCACCTGTCTGCCTGCCTCTCAGCCACCTGTCTGTCTGCCTCTCAGCCACCTGTCTGCCTCTCAGCCACCTGTCTGTCTGCCTCTCAGCCACCTGTCTGTCTGCCTCTCAGCCACCTGTCTGTCTGCCTCTCAGCCACCTGTCTGTCTGCCTCTCAGCCACCTGTCTGCCTGCCTCTCAGCCACCTGTCTGTCTGCCTCTCAGCCACCTGTCTGTCTGCCTCTCAGCCACCTGTCTGTCTGCCTCTCAGCCACCTGTCTGCCTCTCAGCCACCTGTCTGCCTGCCTCTCAGCCACCTGTCTGTCTGCCTCTCAGCCACCTGTCTGTCTGCCTCTCAGCCACCTGTCTGTCTGCCTCTCAGACACCTGTCTGTCTGCCTCTCAGCCACCTGTCTGTCTGCCTCTCAGCCACCTGTCTGTCTGCCTCTCAGCCACCTGTCTGTCTGCCTCTCAGCCACCTGTCTGTCTGCCTCTCAGCCACCTGTCTGTCTGCCTCTCAGCCACCTGTCTGCCTGCCTCTCAGCCACCTGTCTGTCTGCCTCTCAGCCACCTGTCTGTCTGCCTCTCAGCCACCTGTCTGCCTCTCAGCCACCTGTCTGCCTCTCAGCCACCTGTCTGCCTCTGTTACGTTCCCTTCTAGATCTAGGGGGTACAAAGGGAAGTAACAACACACCAGGATGACCAAGGACGACAAAAAGGGAGAGAAAACCGATCTCTGAGTAACGATCCAGTCGTTTAATGATCAATCAGGAACACGGCTCACCAGCCAACTTGCAAAACAACTCTTGCTACAAATATATATATATTGGAGACATGGACACCACGCTGCACACATCCAGCCCGGGGAGAAGGGAGAGAGAGACTGCAGCTTTTCCCAGGTACTTTATGGAGGCCCTGATTAGTGATTGGGAGCACCTGAGGAGAAGCTGCACCTGGAGACAATATAGAGGGAGAGAGAGAAACACACACACACCACGGCACGTAACAGCCTCTCAGCCACCTGTCTGTCTGCCTCTCAGCCACCTGTCTGTCTGCCTCTCAGCCACCTGTCTGTCTGCCTCTCAGACACCTGTCTGTCTGCCTCTCAGACACCTGTCTGTCTGCCTCTCAGCCACCTGTCTGTCTGCCTCTCAGACACCTGTCTGTCTGCCTCTCAGACACCTGTCTGTCTGCCTCTCAGCCACCTGTCTGCCTGCCTCTCAGCCACCTGTCTGCCTGCCTCTCAGCCACCTGTCTGTCTGCCTCTCAGCCACCTGTCTGTCTGCCTCTCAGACACCTGTCTGTCTGCCTCTCAGCCACCTGTCTGTCTGCCTCTCAGCCACCTGTCTGTCTGCCTCTCAGACACCTGTCTGTCTGCCTCTCAGACACCTGTCTGTCTGCCTCTCAGCCACCTGTCTGCCTGTCTCTCAGACACCTGTCTGCCTGCCTCTCAGACACCTGTATGCCTCTCAGACACCTGTCTGTCTCTCAGACACCTGTATGCCTCTCAGACACCTGTCTGCCTCTCAGCCACCTGTCTGCCTCTCAGACACCTGTCTGTCTCTCAGACACCTGTCTGCCTCTCAGCCACCTGTCTGTCTCTCAGACACCTGTCTGTCTCTCAGCCACCTGTCTGCCTCTCAGACACCTGTCTGCCTCTCAGCCACCTGTCTGCCTCTCAGACACCTGTCTGTCTCTCAGACACCTGTCTGTCTCTCAGCCACCTGTCTGCCTCTCAGCCACCTGTCTGCCTCTCAGACACCTGTCTGTCTCTCAGCCACCTGTCTGCCTCTCAGACACCTGTCTGCCTCTCAGACACCTGTCTGCCTCTCAGACACCTGTCTGTCTCTCAGCCACCTGTCTGCCTCTCAGCCGTCTGCCTCTCAGACACCTGTCTGTCTCTCAGACACCTGTCTGCCTCTCAGCCACCTGTCTGTCTCTCAGCCACCTGTCTGCCTCTCAGCCGTCTGTCTCTCAGACACCTGTCTGCCTCTCAGCCACCTGTCTGTCTCTCAGCCACCTGTCTGCCTCTCAGACACCTGTCTGCCTCTCAGACACCTGTCTGCCTCTCAGACACCTGTCTGTCTCTCAGACACCTGTCTGTCTCTCAGCCACCTGTCTGCCTCTCAGCCGTCTGCCTCTCAGACACCTGTCTGTCTCTCAGACACCTGTCTGCCTCTCAGCCACCTGTCTGTCTCTCAGCCACCTGTCTGCCTCTCAGCCGTCTGTCTCTCAGACACCTGTCTGCCTCTCAGCCACCTGTCTGTCTCTCAGCCACCTGTCTGCCTCTCAGACACCTGTCTGTCTCTCAGCCACCTGTCTGCCTCTCAGACACCTGTCTGCCTCTCAGACACCTGTCTGTCTCTCAGCCACCTGTCTGTCTCTCAGCCACCTGTCTGTCTCTCAGACACCTGTCTGCCTCTCAGACACCTGTCTGCCTCTCAGACACCTGTCTGTCTCTCAGACACCTGTCTGTCTCTCAGACACCTGTCTGCCTCTCAGACACCTGTCTGTCTCTCAGACACCTGTCTGCCTCTCAGCCGTCTGTCTCTCAGACACCTGTCTGCCTCTCAGACACCTGTCTGCCTCTCAGACACCTGTCTGTCTCTCAGACACCTGTCTGCCTCTCAGACACCTGTCTGTCTCTCAGCCACCTGTCTGCCTCTCAGCCACCTGTCTGCCTCTCAGCCACCTGTCTGCCTCTCAGCCACCTGTCTGCCTCTCAGCCACCTGTCTGCCTCTCAGAGACCTGTCTGTCTCTCAGCCACCTGTCTGCCTCTCAGCCACCTGTCTGCCTCTCAGCCACCTGTCTGCCTCTCAGCCGTCTGTCTCTCAGACACCTGTCTGCCTCTCAGCCACCTGTCTGCCTCTCAGCCGTCTGTCTCTCAGACACCTGTCTGCCTCTCAGACACCTGTCTGCCTCTCAGCCACCTGTCTGCCTCTCAGCCACCTGTCTGCCTCTCAGCCACCTGTCTGCCTCTCAGACACCTGTCTGCCTCTCAGACACCTGTCTGCCTCTCAGACACCTGTCTGCCTCTCAGACAGAGTGTGAACGTTGTGATCAGCTGTTTTAGCGCAGTTCTCCAGTGAAGGGGGGGGAGTCTCCCTCCGCAGCCGGTTGGTGTAGTTTTGGCACAGTTCCGTTGTACAGACCGACGTTAACAGCAGCCCTGTCTGTGCACACGGAGACCGACTCTGTCGTCCGGTGATCTAACCGCCTTCTGGAAAAGCTTCACAAGTACGTCGATACGCAAATGTGCTTTGTGACACAAGTGACGGTACGCATTTCAGATTACACACATAACCTGCGTACCAGTTATGTGCACCCCTGTACTACAGCAAAAGTATTCTCCGTCGGGACTTCCTGCAACAACACCACGCCGTTATCAAAGATGTTCTATTGGGAAGACGATCACTACGTGACAAAAGTTTTCAAAACCGTGGCTACTGAAATCAATCTTACTAACTGCTGTCTGTGCAATTTACTCCGCGCGAGTTGGCAGACTTTATTTTGCTTACTGTAACATCATTTTTCATGGTGGGGCTAAGCCATTTCTTGGTATGGGTGTAGCCTACCCCAGCCATGCCCTGGCGCTGCCACTGGTGGCACGTATGGGGCGGGCCATTCTGCACATGCGTTAAATGCGTTAAATATTTTAACGCAATTAATTCAAAAAATGTATTACCGCCGTTAACGCGATAATTTTGACAGCACTAGTAGAAATACACAGTTATTATAGTATCATGTATTACTGCTCAATGAACCATGTCTGCCTCTTTCTGCAGGTCTCTTATTTTGAAATCTATCTGGATAAAATCAGAGACTTACTGGATGGTGAGTCAACATATTTAATATAGTAATATTTATGTACTGTGTCTTCCTGGTCGAATGTACTTATTGTAAGTCGCTTTGGATAAAAGCGTCAGCTAAATGCAATGTAATGTAATGTATATGTACAGTGGGGCAAAAAAGTATTTAGTCAGCCACCAATTGTGCAAGTTCTCCCACTTAAAAATATGAGAGGCCTGTAATGTTCATCCTAGCTACACTTCAGCTATGAGAGACAGGATGGGGGAAAGAATCCAGGAAATCACATTGTAGGATTTTTAAAGAATTTATTTGCAAATGATGGTGGAAAATAAGTATTTGGTCAATAACAAAAGTTCATCTCAATACTTTTCTGTAAGTCTTCATAAGGTGTTCACACACTGTTGCTGGTATTCTGGCCCATTCCTCCATGCAGATCTCCTCTAGAGCAGTGATGTTTTGGGGCTGTCGCTGGGCAACACAGACTTTCAACTCCCTCCAAAGATTTTCTATGGGGTTGAGATCTGGAGACTGGCTAGGCCACTCCAGGACCTTGAAATGCTTCTTACGAAGCCACTCCTTCGTTGCCCGGGCGGTGTGTTTGGGATCATTGTCATGCTGAAAGACCCAGCCACGTTTCATCTTCAATGCCCTTGCTGATGGAAGGAGGTTGTCACTCAAAATCTCACGATACATGGCCCCATTCATTCTTTCCTTTACACGGATCAGTGGTCCTGGTCCCTTTGCAGAAACACAGCCCCAAAGCATGATGTTTCCACCCCCATGTTTCACAGTAGGTGTTCTTTGGATGCAACTCAGCATTCTTTCTCCTCCAAACACGTCTAGTTGAGTTTTTACCAAAAAGTTCTATTTTGGTTTCATCTGACCATATGACATTCTCCCAATCCTCTTCTGGATCATCTAAATGCTCTCTAGCAAACTTCAGACGGGCCTGGACATGTACTGGCTTAAGCAGGGGGACACGTCTGGCACTGCAGGGTTTGAGTCCCTGGCGGCGTAGTGTGTTACTGATGGTAGCCTTTGTTACTTTGGTCCCAGCTCTCTGCAGGTCATTGCCTAGGTCCCCCCGTGTGGTTCTGGGATCTTTGCTCACCGTTCTTGTGATCATTTTGACCCCACGGGGTGAGGTCTTGCATGGAGCCCCAGATCGAGGGAGATTATCAGTGGTCTTGTATGTCTTCCATTTTCTAATAATTGCTCCCACAGTTGATTTCTTCACACCAAGCTGCTTACCTATTGCAGATTCAGTCTTCCCAGCCTGGTGCAGGTCTACCATTTAGTTTCTGGTGTCCTCTGACAGCTCTTTGGTCTTGGCCATAGTGGAGTTTGGAGTGTGACTGTTTGAGGTTGTGGACAGGTGTCTTTTATACTGATAACGAGTTCAAAACAGGTGCCATTAATACAGTTAACGAGTGGAGGACAGAGGAGGCTCTTAAAGAAGAAGTTACAGGTCTGTGAGAGCCAGAAATCTTGTTTGTTTGTAGGTGACCAAATACTTATTTTACCGAGGAATTTACCAATTCATTCATTACAAATCCTACAATGTGATTTCCTGGATTCTTTCCCCCCATCCTGTCTCTCATAGTTGAAGTGTACCTAGGATGAACATTACAGGCCTCTCTCATCTTTTTAAGTGGGAGAACTTGGTGGCTGACTAAATACTTTTTTGCCCCACTGTATATGTTTATATTTTTTTTTTTAAAAAGCTGACGGATGTGTTTCATCTTTTAGTGTCGAAGACAAACCTGGCCGTTCACGAGGACAAGAACAGAGTTCCCTTTGTGAAGGTGAGTACTCTGTAGTACTAATACTGTAGTACTCAGACTGTAGTACTAATACACTTTAGTACTCAGACTGTAGTACTCAGACTGTAGTACTAATACACTGTAGTACTCAGACTGTAGTACTCAGACTGTAGTACTAATACACTGTAGTACTCAGACTGTAGTACTAATACACTGTAGTACTCAGACTGTAGTACTCAGACTGTAGTACTCAGACTGTAGTACTCAGACTGTAGTACTCATACTGTAGTACTAATACACTGTAGTACTCAGACTGTAGTACTAATACACTGTAGTACTCAGACTGTAGTACTCAGACTGTAGTACTCAGACTGTAGTACTCAGACTGTAGTACTAATACACTGTAGTACTCAGACTGTAGTACTCATTTCATTTAATTTCAAACCTTTATTTATACAGATAAATCCCATTGAGATCATTGATCTCTTTTTCAAGGCAGACCTGCTCAAGTAGTTCCACATGAAACATAAAAACATAAATAGAACAACAAAAGGACATCATTCAGCATCATTTACATAATTATCCACATAAACAGGTACCAACAGCTTCCGATTGAGTCGCATCCAACCGAGCTTTAAAAACATTTAGTGGCACCAGATTGTTCAGTTTCCATTTAATTTGCAGACTGTTCCAAGACAGAGGAGCTGCGCATCTAAAAGCTGTCTTCCCTAAGACAGTCCTAGCAGTTGGCACATCTAATAAAACCACAGCATGCGATCTCAGGCAGTAGCCACTTACAATTCACCGTGAGATCAGGGAGCAGATATAAGATGGAAGTTTCCCTAACATGGCTTTGTATATAAAGATGTACCAGTGACTGAGCCTCCGTGCAGTTAGTGAAAGTGAACCAGCCCTTGCATACAGGGTACAGTGATGGGTTAATGCTTTACAGTTTGTCACAAATCTCAGTGCGCTGTGATACGCAGCATCTAACTTGACCAGGCAATGGGCAGGTGCATTCATATAGACCAGATCACCAGAGTCCAGCACAGGTCAAAAGGTCACAGAGCCTTTTCCTGGCCTCAAGCGAGAAACAGGACTTGTTCCTGTAGAAGAAACCTAGCCTAACCCTCAGCTTTTTAAGCAGGTTATTGACATGAAGTTTAAAAGTGAGACAATCATCAAGCCAGATACCTAGGTATTTGTAACAGGTAACCACTTTGAGTACTTGTCCTTGCGTAGTTACAATATCTAAAACAGGCTCTGGTGTCTTTTTAGCTTTAGAAAAGAGCTTTACCTTGGTTTTATCAACATTTAAAATAAGCTTTAGTTCAGAGAGCTGAGTCTGAATAATGTTAAAAACAGCCTGTAATTTAACACCAGCCTCCTGAATGGAGGGACCTGCACAGAACATCACGGTATGATCCACTCAGAAGACAGCCCATCAAAGTGAACACATTGGGATCTTTCAGAGAGGTAGTTCACAAACCACCCACTGCATGGCTGGACATGCCGATACTGAGTAGCCTCTGCTTTAAGATGCGATGATCGACGGTGTCAAACGCTTTGGACAGGTCAATAAATAGAGCTGCACAACTCAGCTTATCATCTAAGATACTCGTAATATCATTCACCACTTTCATTGTGGCAGTGATGGTGCTGTGTTGCTTTCTAAAGCCTGACTGATGTTCAGACAGGATGTCATTGTTACATAAAAACTCCTTTACCTGTTCTCTCACTAGGCGTTCAAGAACCTTGGCCAGAACTGACAACTTAGAGATGGGTCTATAGTTATTTAATAAGGTGGCCTCCCCTCCTTTTAGCAAAGGCAGGACATACGCTGACTTCCATACTTTTGGAATTGTGTTAGTGCTGAGGGAGAGGTTAAAAAGAGAAGTGAGAGGAAGAGCAATACAATCTGCAGCTATCTTTAAAAAGAAAGGATCTAACTTGGTTAAAGCTTCACGAAAAACATCAACAGTAAAAGGGATTAAACTAAAAGGGTTTTCCAACACACGTTTTTCAGAGTTACATACTGTAGTGTTCACAGAAGCAGAGTTAGTGACAGAATCAAACATAGAACCGCAGGACACAAAATGCTCATTAAAGCAATTTAGCATAGTAGCCCTGTCCGATATAGAGCCAGATGCTGTGGTAATGCACGGAGGTAGCTCATTACGGATATCGCCGGTGGATAACGATTTAATGGCTTTCCAGAATGTTCCAGGATTATTCAGGTTCTTTGTGGTAACTGACAGATAGTACTTAGACTTTGCACTTTTGATATGTGAAGTGAAGCTATTCCTTAGCTGCCTAAAACGCAGCCACTCTACCTCTGAGCCTGATTGCCTAGCCTTTGCCCAGGCCTTGTTTCTCTCATGAAGGAGACTAGACAGCTCAGCAGAAAACCAAGGATTGTCTCGTCCCTTCACCCTAAATGTACGCAGGGGTGCATGTCTATCAATGATCTCCATAAAACCAAGATAAAAATAAGACCATGCGGTTTCTAGCACACAGATCGATTTCCCCCCAATCAAACCCAAACAGATCATGAACAAAACCCTGCTCCACAAAATGTTTTTTGTCTCTCTTGATGATAATACGAGGTTTAACCTTTTGGACCTTAGTGTCCCTAATTGTGGCTACAGCACAGTGATCACTCAGATCATTAGCAAATACTCCCACAGCTGAGTATTTATGGGGAGCATTAGTTAGAATGAGATCAATTAGGGAGAATTTATTAGGGGACTTAATGTTAGGGCGAGTAGGACTGTCCACAATCTGAGTAACATTCAAAGAGATACAAAGGTTGTTTAAATCCTCTGACACTGCAGTTAACCAGTCCCAGTTACAATCTCCAAGTAGCACTATTTCCTTGTAGTCTAGTTGTGATAAAATATTTGCTAGTGAAGACAAGGAGTCTTTGTGTGCATCTGGACCCGGTGACGACATTACCTATTGACGCAGCAACCACTGTAAGTTATATTCTTGTTTAATTAGACTTCTCTGTTTCATTTTTTCGACTCTGTATAATTGTTATTGTAGCTTAAACGGCTAAATCGCTTTTGAGAGATTTTAAATCTCAGATCTGCTCAGGCGAAACCTGCTTCACAGGTCTCAGCACTCAAGCCTGCATTAATATAGGCAGGGCCAGTCTATTGTCGCCCATCAGCTGTAGATAGTTAACTAATTAGAGGGGCGTGCCCCTACAGCTGTGAGAACTGAGCAATCAGGCGTCCATTTTAGGTAGCTCTTTCCTGGAGCGTCAGCTTCAGCATCAGACAGCCGAAGACTGAAAAAGACATTGGAGTCCTACGGGAGTCAAAGACTGACAAAGACATTAGAGTCCTACGGGAGTCACGAGGGAGGCAAAGAGGAGGCAAATCCTACTCTGATTGAGCTGGTGTCTTATTTCTTTTTTCTTTAGTTTTCTAGCCCCTCATGCTATAATCATGTGTATTTTCTCCATTCCTGTTCATGTGTCTTCTCGCAATTATCACTGGCCCCGTGTATCTCCTAATCGATATAACCGGCCTGCTCTCGTCTATCCCACGTGCTCCACTGAGATCCAACATCTAGTTTCAGGCGGCCTGTGGAATTGCCAGTCAGCTGTTCCTAAGGCTGACTTCATCTCTGGCTACGCCTCCCTGCAGTCTCTGGATTTCCTTGCTCTCACTGAGACCTGGATTACTCCATCCAACACATCCACCCCAGCAGCTCTCTCCACTGCATATTCCTTCTCCCATACACCCAGACCCACTGGCAGAGGAGGTGGCACTGGTCTCCTGCTCTCTCCCAAATGGAGCTTTTCCCTCTTCAAGCTACCTAACTTCACTCCTTCCACCTTTGAATTCCATGCCGTCACAGTAACCCATCCTATACAGTTAACCATTGTTGTTCTCTACCGTCCACCAGACGCCTTGGGGGACTTCTTGGAGGAATTAGATCATCTCCTCTCACTCATCCCTGAAACTGGCCCTCCCTCTGTACTTCTCGGAGACTTCAACCTCCAGACGGGGAAGATAGACGAACTAGCATCTCTGTTAACCGTCTTTGCTTTCTCACTGTCTCCGTCCCCACCGACTCATAAAGCTGGCAATGTCCTTGATCTCATATTCTCAAGGAACTGCGCTACTTCTAACCTCTCTGTAAACCCGCTCCACACATCCGATCACTTCTTCATTTCATTCTCTCTACCCCTTTCCAAACATAACAAACTAATCTCTTCTCATCCTGCACTTGTCCGCCGTAACCTTCGCTCCCTCTCCCCCTCTACCTTTGCCTCATCGGTGCTCTCAGCCCTCCCTTCCTCTGACTCGTTCCAACTCCTGCCTCCAAACTCTGCTGCAGAAACTCTCCTCTCTACTCTCTCATCCTCTCTGGACTCTCTCTGTCCTCTCACATCTCGGCAGGCTCGTCAGTCCCCTCCTGCTCCCTGGCTAAATGATGCACTGCGTGCTAATAGAACCGTCCTTACGGCAGCAGAGCGGAAACGGTGGAAATCCAAACACCGTGACGACCTCCTAACCTATCAGGCTCTCCTCTCCTCTTTCTCTGCTTCCATCTCTCAGGCAAAAAGCACTTTCTTTCAAGATAAGATCCAATCTTCCTATTCCAATCCTAAAAAACTATTTTCCATCTTCTCCACCCTCTTGGACCCTCCAAAAGCTTCTCCCCCCTCCTCACTTCTGTCAAGCGACTTTGTTACCCACTTTGAAAAAAAGGTTGATGATATTCGCTCTTCTTTTTCTGACTCACCTCTACTCACCGCTGGGTCACCAGACCCTCCTTCCACCAACACACTTACCTCCTTTTCCCCTCTCTCTCCAAGTGAGGTTCTTACCCTCATTACCTCTGCCCGCCCTACCACCTGTTCTCTGGACCCTATCCCTTCAAACCTCCTTCAGACTATCGCTCCTGATATTCTACCGTTTCTCACCCATTTCATCAACACTTCTCTAACTTCTGGTCACTTTCCAAACAGTCTCAAGGAGGCAAGAGTAAACCCTCTCCTAAAGAAACCCACTCTCAACCCGTCTGATGTTATAAACTACAGGCCTGTCTCTCTCCTCCCGTTCCTGTCTAAATCACTTGAACGCGCTGTCTTTAAACAACTCTCCTGTTATCTCCATCAGAACAACCTTCTGGATCCGCACCAGTCTGGTTTCAAGGCAGGTCACTCCACAGAAACTGCTCTCATTGCTGTCACGGAGGAACTGCACACTGCTCAAGCAGCCTCCCTCTCCTCTGTCATCATCCTATTGGACCTGTCTGCTGCATTCGACATGGTGAATCATCAGATCCTCCTTCGCACTCTCCAAAAACATGGAGTTTCAGGCTCTGCTCTTTCCCTCCTCACCTCATACCTGAAAGACCGTACCTACAGGGTGACTTGGAGAGGGTCTGAGTCCGACCCTTGTCAATTAACTACAGGGGTCCCTCAGGGCTCTGTTCTTGGTCCCCTCCTCTTCTCCCTGTACACAAACTCGCTCGGATCAGTCATTAGCCCGCATGGTTTTTCTTACCACTGCTACGCTGACGACACCCAATTAATTCTGTCCTTTCCCCGCTCAGAGACCCAGGTCGTTGCACGCATCTCTGCTTGTCTAGCTGACATCTCTCAGTGGATGTCTGCTCACCACCTCAAGCTCAACCTTGACAAGACTGAGCTGCTCTTCCTTCCGGGAAAAGATTGTCCCACTCTTGACCTAACAATCAACATCGGCACCTCAGTTGTTTCCCCGACTCAGACCGCAAGGAATCTGGGTGTGACCCTAGATAACAACCTGTCCTTCACTGCAAACATCGCTGCTACAACCCGTTGCTGCAGATACACGCTTTACAACATCAGGAGGATACGTCCCCAGCTGACACAGAAAGCGACTCAGGTTCTGGTCCAGGCTCTCGTCATCTCACGCCTAGACTACTGCAACTCCCTCCTGGCTGGTCTACCTGCATGTGCCATCCGACCTCTGCAGCTCATCCAGAATGCAGCGGCTCGTCTGGTCTTCAACCTTCCTAAATTTTCCTACACCACTCCGCTCCTCCGCTCCCTCCACTGGCTTCCGGTAACTGCTAGAATCCACTTCAAGACACTGGTACTTGCTTACCATGCTGCGAATGGATCTGGCCCTTCCTACATCCAGGACATGGTTAAACCGTACACCCCAGCACGTGCACTACGCTCTGCATCAGCCAAACGACTCGCTGCGCCCTCGCTGCGAGGGGGACCCAAGTTCCCATCGGCAAAAACACGTGGGTTTGCTGTCCTGGCTCCAAGATGGTGGAATGAGCTCCCCATTGACATCAGGACGGCAGATAGCTTGCACATCTTCCGGCGCAAACTGAAAACTCATCTCTTTCGACTCCACTTCGAGCGTTCGAACTATTAACGAAGCACTTTTATACTAATAAAGGACTGGCTTACCTAAAGCCAGTTGAGTAGCACTTGAAATGTTTGGCTCTATGAAACCTGATGTACTTATATGATTCTGTTTTCTTCAAGGTTGTGTCTTCCTGGTCGAATGTACTTATTGTAAGTCGCTTTGGACAAAAGCGTCAGCTAAATGCAATGTAATGTAATGTAATGTAATGTTTGACAGCTGAGGGGGGTCTGTAACAACTCACTACCATGACCTGTTGACCCTTTGCTACTTCTATATTTATGGCTAAAAATTCAAATTGCTTACTGATCGATTTGGAAACTAATGTGGTTAGACTGAACTTGTTCTTAACATAAATGGCAACCCCACCACCTTTATTAGGCCGGTCGGTACGATACACATTAAAACCATTTAAGGCAGTGTCAGAAGCCAAAATAGATTTATTTAGCCATGTTTCTGATAAAACAATGACGTCAGCGTCAGTTGAGCTCGCCCAGATACGGACAAAATCTAGTTTACCTAACAGACTGCGCACATTCAAGTGGATGAAACCCAACCCAGACCTAGCTTTAAAATCAGCAGGAGTAGCGATCTGACTACTACTACTGGGCGGACCAGGGTTAGGTTGTACATTTCCTGACAGTAATAACAACAACAAAAAACAGGCATCTTTTCCTCTTAATCGACACACATACATTGTCATCTAATTTAGAAACACCGGAAAAGTCTGCGACAGTGTGATTAGAGCTTAAGAAGCAGTCCTGAAGAACCATCATCGCAGGAAAACAAAAAAGACAAACATATTTTGTTGAGCAGATTGTCTGTGACAAGGCAACCGGTAATTGTTTGAGCAACACATCCGAACCTTTGCAGGGGATGCCCACTGCGGGTGGCAGAACAGACCTGAATCCAGTAGTCTTCTCAGAATGACTAGAGATCTTCTCATAGTCCAAAACAGTTAACAGGCACAGCAGAATCCCGATATGGGCCATTTTCCCAGACCAGCACACAGTATCCGCGATGTTCCTGGAGCAAATCAGCACAGCAGCAAAGGACAGGCGAAAGCAGCAGCGTGGAAGTGCTCCGGTCCCTCCGTGGTATCCCCGGGGTGAAAGCAGGCCTCTGCAACAGCAGAACCAGGACAGGTGGAAAGCAGGCCCCAGCGGTGGTAAAATCCTCCTCCGGATCCAAGCCCGAAGCGTGGATCCACTCCGTCTCTCCGCAATGACTCCGGGGTAAAAACCTCTCCAGTACAGCCGTATTCTACAGGTGGGAGCAGGCCTCCGTAGATCGCAGATCGCAGATCGCAGATCGCAGATCGCAACAGGTGGAGCCGCTCCGTCTCTTCGCGACGAGCAGGCCTCCGTAAATCGCAGATCGCATGCAGCAACAGGTGGAGCCACTCCGTTTCTTCGCGACGTCTCCGGGGGAAAAACACCTCAGTACAGCCGTACTCGACAGGTGGGAATAGGCCTCGGCAGATCGCAGACAACTAAAACTACTACTTGTATAAGCAGGGATGGCTAAAAGTTTGTAAGCAGGAGAGCTAGATACTAACATATGCCAGATGCTAACAGGTAGTGCGAGCCTGTAGAAATTGCGACTGCCTCCAATGACAGCGTAGGATCAATGATCTGGACGACATTAGACTGTAGTACTCAGACTGTAGTACTAATACTGTAGTACTAATACTGTAACACTAATACTGTAGCACTAATACTGTAGTACTAATACACTGTAGTACTCAGACTGTAGTACTAATACACTGTAGTACTCAGACTGTAGTACTAATACTGTAGTACTCAGACTGTAGTACTAATACTGTAGTACTCAGACTGTAGTACTAATACTGTAGTACTCAGACTGTAGTACTAATACTGTAGTACTCAGACTGTAGTACCACTGTAGTACTCAGACTGTAGTACTCAGACTGTAGTACTCAGACTATAGTACTCAGACTGTAGTACTCAGACTGTAGTACTCAGACTGTAGTACTAATACTGTAGTGCTCAGAATGTAGTGCTCAGACTGTAGTACTAATACTGTAGTACTCAGACTGTAGTACTCAGACTGTAGTACTAATACTGTAGTACTCAGACTGAAGTACTCAGACTGGAGTACTCAGACTGTAGTACTAATACTATAGTGCTCAGACTGTAGTGCTCAGACTGTAGTGCTAATACTGGAGTGCTCAGACTAGTACTAATACTGTAGTACTAATACTGTAGTACTCAGACTGTAGTACTACTGTAGTACTCAGACTGTAGTACTCAGACTATAGTACTCATACTGTGTACTTCCTGTCAGTACTGTAGTACTCATACTGTGTACTTCCTGTCAGTACTGTAGTACTCGTACTGTGTACTTCCTGTACTTCCTGTCAGTACTGTAGTACTCATACTGTGTGCTTCCTGTACCTCCTGTCAGGGCTGCACGGAGCGTTTTGTTTCCAGTCCAAATGAAGTGATGGACGTCATCGACGAGGGGAAAGCCAACCGGCACGTCGCCGTCACCAGTCAGTACTGCTATTACTACTGTTATTACAAATATTATGACTGCTATTACTACTGTTATTACAAATATTACGACTGCTATTACTACTGTTATTACTACTATCAATACTACTGCTATTACTACTGTTATTACTACTATCAATACTACTGCTATTACTACTGTTATTACTACTGTCAATACTACTGCTATTACTACTGTTATTACAAATATTACGATTGCTATTACTACTGTTATTACTAACAATACTACTGCTATTACTACTGTTATTACTACTATCAATACTACTGTTATTACTACTGTTATTACTACTATCAATACTACTGTTATTACTACTGTTATTACAAATATTACGACTGCTATTACTACTGTTATTACTACTAACAATACTACTGTTATTACTACTGTTATTACTAACAATACTACTGCTATTACTACTGTTCTTACTATCAATACTACTGCTATTACTACTGTTATTACTAACAATACTACTGCTATTACTACTGTTATTACTACTATCAATACTACTGTTATTACTAACAATACTTTTGTTACTATTGTTGCTCCTAGTATTCTACTTAGTCGTATCATTTAAGAATCTTGTTAGCAACCTCCGTTTTTTAAATCCAGCAGTGGGTTATTATTGATGTTTCATCAAGGTGTTCAAGGTGTTCATGGTGTTCAAGGTGTTCATGGTGTTCATGGTGTTCATGGTGTTCACGGTGTTCACGGTGTTCAAGGTGTTCACGGTGTTCACGGTGTTCACGGTGTTCAAGGTGTTCAAGGTGTTCAAGGTGTTCACGGTGTTCACGGTGTTCACGGTGTTCACGGTGTTCACGGTGTTCACGGTGTTCAACGTGTTCACGGTGTTCAACGTGTTCATGGTGTTCAACGTGTTCACGGTGTTCATGGTGTTTTGTGGTGTTCAACGTGTTCACGGTGTTCATGGTGTTTTGTGGTCCTGACGCAGCATTTGTTTGTTTCGTTGTCAGACATGAACGAGCACAGCTCTCGCAGCCACAGCATCTTCCAGATCAACATCAAGCAGGAGAACGTGGAGACGGAGCTTAAACTGTCGGGGAAACTCTACCTGGTGGACCTGGCCGGGAGCGAGAAGGTACGGCTAGCATTAGCTTTGCATTCACCACGTCATGTTCGGGAAACCTTTCCAAAGAGAGCAGCACAGAAACATCCAGAGTCACACATCTAAATCAAACAAACCAATACAAATAACACACTCTTAGAAAGATAATATTGAGACCCGTTGAATGACGATGTTTTTGTCCAGGTGAGTAAGACGGGGGCAGAAGGCGCCGTGTTGGACGAAGCCAAGAACATCAACAAGTCTCTGTCGGCTCTCGGGAACGTGATCGCTGCTCTGAGCGAAGGAACGGTGAGTCCAAAAATAACCTGAGATATCACAAGCTGAGCTTTATGTAATCTAAACGTTAGGAGTCCTGTCAGGGTCCAGGACTCATTCCTGCACCACTAACTGATGTGTGTTTGTAGAAAACCCATGTCCCGTACAGAGACAGTAAGATGACCCGGATCCTGCAGGACTCTCTGGGGGGAAACTGCCGGACCACCATCATCATCTGCTGCTCGCCTTCAGCCTACAACGAGGCCGAGACCAAGTCCACCCTCATGTTCGGACAGAGGTACCTCAGACACTCACCTGTTGGAGCATGAAGCACTTCTCTGTGAAGCGGTCTGGAGGGGGGGGGGGGGGGGTAGGTATCTGACGAGACAGAACAAGGTCCAGGACTGGGGTCAAACTGTTTACGTCCTTTCTGTCTGAACATCATCAGATTACATACTGAGATTAGTGCAGCATTTAGGCTGATTAAGGCTTTTTATCAATTCACACACAATCCGTCAGTCCTTCCATCAGTCCTTCCATCAGTCCTTCCATCAGTCCGTCCATCAGTCCGTCCATCAGTCCGTCCATCAGTCCGTCCATCAGTCCGTCCATCAGTCCTTCCATCAGTCCTTCCATCAGTCCGTCCATCAGTCCTTCCATCAGTCCTTCCATCAGTCCGTCCATCAGTCCTTCCATCAGTCCTTCCATCAGTCCTTCCATCAGTCCGTCCATCAGTCCTTCCATCAGTCCTTCCATCAGTCCTTCCATCATCCTTCCATCAGTCCTTCCACAGTCCGTCCATCAGTCCTTCCATCAGTCCGTCCATCAGTCCTTCCATCAGTCCTTCCATCAGTCCTTCCATCAGTCCTTCCATCAGTCCTTCCATCAGTCCGTCCATCAGTCCTTCCATCAGTCCTTCCATCAGTCCTTCCATCAGTCCTTCCATCAGTCCTTCCATCAGTCCTTCCATCAGTCCGTCCATCAGTCCTTCCATCAGTCCTTCCATCAGTCCGTCCATCAGTCCGTCCATCAGCTGTTTCCTGTCAGATAGCGCACAGTTGTCTGAGTGTTGTCTCTGTGTCTCAGAGCGAAGACCATAAAGAACACGGTGTCTGTGAACCTGGAGTTGACGGCTGAGGAGTGGAAGAAGAAGTACGAGAAGGAGAAGGAGAAGAACCGGGGTCTGAACGTCGTGATCCAGAAACTGGAGAACGAGCTGAAGCGCTGGAGGAAAGGTACACAGGAAGTTTATTGAGTTGAATCTTTAATTATTATGATGTCTTTATTGATTAAGAACCATGCATCAAAATACATGTATCTTGAAGGGAGAAAAGCTAATGATGTGTTGCCAGTAAAACTGTTGGGTTGTCAGAGGACGTTTTGATAACATTTGAGATGTTAACTCCTCAGGTGAGTCAGTACCTGTGGTGGAGCAGCTGAGCAGCAGGAACAAGCAGAGCAGCAGTGAGACCTCAGCAGTGATTGACAGCTTCGTCCTGCCCCCTGCACCGCTGTCAGATGGAGAGAAGACACAGTACGAGACGCTCATCACCGACCTGTACCAGCAGCTGGATTACAAGGTGAGTCCTACCTGTACCAGCAGCTGGATTACAAGTGGGTCCTACCTGTACCAGCAGCTGGATTACAAGTGGGTCCTACCTGTACCAGCAGCTGGATTACAAGGTGAGTCCTACCTGTACCAGCAGCTGGATTACAAGGTGAGTCCTACCTGTACCAGCAGCTTCCTACCTGTACCAGCAGCTGGATACAGGTGAGTCCTACCTGTACGCAGCAGCTGGATTACAAGGTGAGTCCTACCTGTACCCAGCAGCTGGATTACAAGGTGAGTCCTACCTGTACCAGCAGCTGGATTACAAGGTGAGTCCTACCTGTACCAGCAGCTGGATTACAAGGTGAGTCCTACCTGTACCAGCAGCTGGATTACAAGGTGAGTCCTACCTGTACCAGCAGCTGGATTACAAGGTGAGTCCTACCTGTACCAGCAGCTGGATTACAAGGTGAGTCCTACCTGTACCAGCAGCTGGATTACAAGGTGAGTCCCACCTGTACCAGCCAGCTGGGATTACAAGGTGAGTCCTACCTGTACCAGCAGGCTGGATTACAAGGTGAGTCCTACATGTCCAGCAGCTGGATTACAAGGTGAGTCCTACCTTACCACAGCTGGGATTACAAGGTGAGTCCCTACCTGTACCAGCAGCTGGATTACAAGTGAGTCCTACCTGTACCAGCAGCTGGATTACAAGTGAGTCCTACCTGTACCAGCAGATGGATTACAAGGTGAGTCCTACCTGTACCAGCAGCTGGATTACAAGTGAGTCCTACCTGTACCAGCAGCTGGATTACAAGGTGAGTCTCACCTGTACCAGCAGCTGGATTACAAGGTTGGTCCCTACCGTGTAACAGCAGCTGGATTACAAGTGAGTCCTACCTGTACCAGCAGCTGGATTACATAGTGCAGTCCTACCTGTACCAGCCAGCTGGATTACAAGGTGAGTCCCTACCTGTACCAGCAGCTTGGATTACAAGGTGAGTCCTACCTGTACCAGCAGCTGGATTAACAAGGTGCGTCTACTACCTTGTACCAGCAAGCCTGGATTACAATGTGGTTCCCTACTGTACCAGCCAGCTGGACTTACACAGGTGCGTCCTTACCCTGTACCAGCAGCTGGATTACAAGGTGAGGTCCTACCTGTAACCAGCAGCTGGAATTACAAGGTGGAGTCCTACCTGGTACCAGCAGGCTGGATTACCAAGGTGAGTCCTACCTGTACCAGCAGCTGGATTACAAGGTGAGTTTCCCACCTGTACCAGCAGCTGGATTACAAGGGTGAGTCCTACCTGTACC